CAGCATAGCCAAGGCCAGCACTACATACATTAATTTTATATCTCATGTATGATGTGACCTCCTCAAAATTAGCTTCAAAAGTCACGATGCATGAGTATATATGGTAATTGGTTACCAGAAGTTTTCATTTCATTGAACTCATTCTTTTTTTCTTGTTGCTACAATATATTATATTCATTGAAATTTTAGTTCCATTTTAACCCAAACTGAACTTGTATAGGTACCACCAAAAGGGATACAGTTTTTCTGAAATGACCCCCCCCCCAAAAAGTGTTTAAAAATTTGTAACAAAAGAAATTACCCAAATTTTCACTAATTATCCATTAATGAATTAGAATTTTATTAGAAAATATTTTGGGTGTGGGTCAGTTTCACCTACTCCCTTCAATAACTCATTTTTTTTTATCATTATATAAAGAGAAATCGCTGAAGATATTTTCATAAAAAATTTTTGCAACATGAAGCATGAACAAAAAAAATTTATCCCCAAACTTCCCAAAAATAATTTAATAAAATTCAAAAACTTTTTTCATAAGTTGATGCTTGCATAATTTAATAAAATGCCTTTATTTTTCATTAAATAAAAAATGTTTCAAGAATCATGAAATGTGAAGTTTAATGTCTTTTTCGTGTATGAATCTTTACATTTTTTTTCATTTTAGCAACCGTTACATTATTTTTTGGATGGAAGTTCAAAAAGGAAATAATTCTGAATTATCTTATTTGATTGACTATTCTTTCCTATCAGAAGAGTAATTCAATAAATCTTAAATTCAGAATAAAAAAAATCTGAGTGTAAATATTTTATGACATCAAACATCTAAGAAAATTTAAAAAAATAAAAGTAATGAATTAAACTTGAAAGTATCATTTAATTAAAAAATTAAATCTTATTTTATACTTGTAATGTAGTATAAAAATAAGATTATTCTCAGTTTAATATAAAATGTATAGAATAAAAATTAACTATTGGTTATATAAGGTTAAAGAATTTATTTTCAAACAAATACCATTTTCTTGATTATTGTATTACTAATTTTTTGCATTCTTTTGAAGTCAGGGATGAAAGTCGAAAATTACTGTTGACATGACATTATAAACTACTACGAGTAAATAAACATTATTTTCAGTATATTTTAAGTAAAATGTAAGCATTACTTTTGCAAGATCCTGTTAATTAATCCTTAAATTTATTAATTTACTTTGAAATTTCTCTAGCACAAATATTGAATTTTTAAAAGATTTAAAAGATTTGTTTATATTTTTCATGTATAATGGTGGGTCAATGAGTGAAGAGCAAATGTCAAGGTTTTAAAAATGCCTAAAACCGTTTGCATACGGAAATTTATTTCTTTTTAATACAAATTAGATTTAGACTTATTGAAATGACCAGTAAAACCAGTGAAAAAAATGTATTATTTAAAAATAAAAATTCTGATTAAACATGTCTTTGAAAATTCAAGGAAAATATTGGTTAAAATCAAATTTATACCTTATATAGTTATAGTATTTATCGATTCACCCATGAGGATTGAATATGGCACAAGGCCGGTTTAATGTGGGTATCTCCGAGCCCGTAGGCTCGGCCAAAAATATAGCCTTTGAACCCACCTAGATGGGTTCCTCTCTGCTATTGCAGAGAGTTCAAAGACTGTATCACGACTCAGAGGTCTTACCCTCGCTGTCTATCTGTCTTATATAGTTATATGCACAATTATAGCTTGTCATTTATTAAGTTATATATATATATATATAAGAGAAAGATGTTTTATTGAATAATTTAGACAAGTTTTGTCTACTTATTTTCAAGTGGATCCTTTCATATTCACAGACGAGCTTTTTGGTGTCATTATTAAAGGAAGAGAGAATGTTACTGTGTTGATACATATCTTCCTTTTACAATGACACCAAAAGCTCATATGTGAACATGAAAGAATCCAATTGAAAATAAAAACAGAACTTGTCTAAATTATTCAATGAAACCTGTCAACGAAAACATGCTGCCAAAATATATGATTGATATATATATATATATATATATATATATATATATATCCACTTTTTTAAAAAATAAACCAGTTTGTCTGATGATTGCAAAAGCATGAAACTTTGGCTCACAAACTACTATCCATGCAAGTGAATCTTTTTTATATATATATATATATATATATCAGTTAGGTAGTACTAAGTTAGACCATAAGTTCCTCAAATTGATCGATAAACATTTTTCGAAAAGTAACCCTCTCAGTAAAATCTTTAACGGAAATACCTTAAAACTAAGTTATAGTTGCACCAATAATCTCATGAAAATCAAAGTTACAAAACAAAACTAAGTCAATTTAATAATCTGTATCAAAATACAAACTCCAATGAAAATATTATTAAGTATACAGACCAATATAATTGTAGGAATCCTAACCAATGCCCATTGTCAAACAAATGTTTAACTGAGTCTCTTGTTTATCTTTGTTCTATCTCTACAATGGAAAATCCGAAGCTTGAAAAGTTCTATATTGATAGTACTAAGAATCCTTTCAAGACCCAGTGGTATCAACACATTGTCTTTTACTAATAATACTTATAGAAATAATACATCACTTTCAAAATATTTTTGGAGGTTGAAAGATGAAAATAAAACTTCTGAAGTGAAATGGAAAATCTTAAAACTGGCAAAGACATGTAGATCCTTATGAACTTTGTTTTCTGTGTTTACAAGAAAAATATGCAGATTATCAGGTTCTTGCATAAAGATGCTTTATTAAATCAAAGATTTGAATTAATAGTAAATTGTAAACATACTCTACCTTTTACCCCACAATCTTACTGAACTTTGAAATTTGACAGTTGCTTTTTCTCAGATTTAAATTGAAATGTGTTGCACCATATATGGCTTATCTTTCTGTCGGTAAGATCAGTTTCAACTTAATAAAATTTTTGTATTAATCTTCTAGTAGTTAACAGTAGGTACAGATGTATTGGTGTTTGGCTGACATTTTGCATGGATTGGGCATTGTTAGTAACACCCTATATAAAGAACTTTTAGACAACAGTTTCATTTTATTTCACTTAGTTCTATATGTTTAAATAATTCATTGGTTTCTTAAAGTGCCTGTTTATTTACCAACTATAAAAGATTTTTAAATTCACAGGGAATGTAACTTATTGAGTATTTTGTTAAATTAACTTTCATCTTTCCTAGGAAATGACATTGATGTACAATATTGCAGCCATTTACATCCACTCGTATGTGGTATCTGGGTGCTGTCTATGATTCTAAATCTGTGGGTCATGACTATTTATGAATGATCACTTAACTTTTGCTTCTCCCCTTACTTTAAACTTAACGAAGGTCATTTCAATTGGCTGATTGGAGTAAAACCAAACAAACCCTGCAACCATCTCCTCACCTTTCATCCTTATTCTTCCTTTACTTGTGAAAAGAGGATGTATCTTGCTTCTAAATCTCAATAAATTGTCTACCCACCAGTTATTTACTAACACCTGATAAGATGCACTGATTCGCATCGAAACACAACTGCAACTGTGTAGCATTTTTTTTTTTTTTTACATGTTTTTGATGTAATATCCTAAAATAAAGTGTGTATGTATATATATTATCCACATATATAAAACCCAATGTACATTTTATTTATATATTTGTGTTTGTTCAACACCTGCAGAACCCACCTTCGGTTTATACTGCAACTATACGGAACAGACCATAGTTTCTGGGAGAGGCCACATAATCAGGTGTGATCAACACTTTGAACAACGAAAGTATATTTAAATTCTTGATGGCTTCTAAACAGTTCCATCAACCCAATTTCTTCAGTAACATCAAAAGTCACCATCCTGAAAGACTGACCATGATGAAATTCAAAACCATGTCTCATGGTCAGAAAGCAAATGCTCTAATCACACTATTGTGATTGTGCATATTTGTGTGTATGTGTGTGCGTAACCAGCCCCCCTCCCCGCACGCACACACACAGAACACTTACCAGAGTTTTATTTTTTTTGTTTTTTTTAACCAAAAGGTCAGCTTCTCAGTAAGGAAACTGAAGGTGAACTATTGCATAGAGAGGAAAGCATCAAATATGGCCATTTCAAGATATCCCCTTAGAGAGAACATGAGAACTGTCTGCCCCTTATCACTACATGACTAACCAGGTCTTCTTTTATCTAGTATAGAGTCTGACTATCATCCCACAACAAGAATTGTTTATCTTCTAGCCAAGTGTCACTTGATCTTGAAAGTTTTTATATATATTTATACATTTCCTTTTCTCTATTTATGGACAATCAGTGATCGTCTTGAAATTTTACTAGCAATGAAGTTGGTTGTCGTAAAACTGACAGATAAAAACCAATTACAGTTTCTTGGCAGAAATGCTAATCATGATACATTGATCCCAGGCAGAGTGCACAGATACTACATTGATCAAAGGTAGAAGTGCCAATGTATATACAAATATGGCTTTCCACAACTTCCTTATAATATCGGTTAATTGCCATGACTTGTTGGGAAATATAGTGGAATGGTTTCCTGTTGCATTCTTCATAGTTTGGAATTCAGAATAGTTCTAAGACTGGCTGTTAGCCAAGGCTAAGGAGCCCAGTCTACTCTCTATTTAACCCATAGTGAGATGATTTAGCATATACTAAGTTAGTATTTATGATATATTGTGATTCAATCATTCACAAATACTACAGTGTCGAAATTAGTTGATTAATTTGTTTTCTATGGTTTATCAACCCTTTGTAGGTTATTTAAAGCCAGAAAATATATTTAGATTTTAATTATTTTTGGGGAAATAATGGTTTAGCGATAAAAGTCTTACTAATTAACCCATAGTTTGAGGGGGAAAGGTGGATTCATACCTTTCTCAAGTGTATTTGCATGTAAGTGAATATAATGAACCTATTAGGAATTTGAACTCTGCTCTCTGATTAACAATTCTGATCCATTATCTGTTATACCACCCATACATCCAAGCCTAGAGCACCTGATATTCCCAAGTGGTCACTCATCTAGATACTGACCAGGCTCAATGTTGTTTAACTTCAGTGATCATATGGGAACTGATGTTTCGTGATGTGGCCATAAGCCCTTGTCTAAATTGGGTAATTGAATTACAAACCTGAAAAGATGTATTTTTTTTTTATTTTGTCATTCAGTTACCCAATATTTTACTGAGATATCATTTTCTGTCATTGTCTAAATTATATCAAAACACTGTTTCCATGAAAATTAATTTATATTTGGCAATTTATTTGGCCTGAAATCAAATTATTACTATCTCTCACTGAGGCACCTCGGCATGGTGTAATGGTTAGCAAGCTTGTCTTGCTAGGTTAGTTACTTCTGAAAAGTGAGTTCGATCCTCACTAGATGCCCCATGCTTTTGGTCTTGTGCCACATCTAAGCTACGCTTGGAAAATCTTTACTACTATCTCTCACTGTCATTATGTGTGTGTGTGTATATATATATATATATATATATAGAGAGAGAGAGAGAAGATTTCAATCAATGGTTGACACCTTGGTGTTCATGAAAAATTATAATCAAAACGGATAATGAAAGTCTCCATCTTCTTATCTATCTATATTTCCCATACTATATATTAAATAAAAATATTTGATGCATTTGTTTCCATATGAAACTAAGGAGATATATCATTTAAGTAGAAAAATCAATTGAACCATTTGGTTTAACAAAAGAGTGAATTTATGTTGAATCATTGAGTATTTATTGGTATTTTGTGAAATTTATTGCATATAAACACATTAAAACAATCAGATTGTTACAAAATAATTCGTCATTCGAATACTTTAAGACTTTACCAATATTTCTCGTAGGAGGTTGACGCTCAATTTTTCTTTCAGATGTTTTAAAATAAAAGAATTCATTTTTGGTATTTTTTTTAAAAAAAAAAAAAAAAAAAAAAAATAGTGAATATTCACAATCATTGAATTGTTGCTCAGTGGCCTATGTGCCCACATTAATTTATTTTTAAAGCCATATTTTGAAGTGATTTCTGATTTTTATCCTATTAAGATGGCTCAGTTCTTTTTATCGTATTCTTTGCTGCAACCTTGGAAACACTGTCCTCCCACCTCACCCAGAATGTACATCACATCTGATTCTTCACTTCCATAGTATTTTATATAAAGTTGATCCTGCGGACTTTAATTCCCTGTCTGCCATGGCCATAGGGCTTAGATCACCCCAGTTCACAGAGCAAATAATAGTATGATCTGATTCCTTTATTGAAGTCAATATTGTCTACTTGTTTTGCTTCAGTAGACTTATCAATTATGCTTTGTAGAATCATAAATAAACTGGTTGATCATTTGGCCATCTTGAGACATGATAAATATTGATTCTTTTCTTGCCAGTTAAAGATGACAAAGTTGAAAACCGATTCCACAGACTTTCAGATTTATATAAAAAGTCACCTTCCTGACAAATCGACCATCGTGAGATACAAATCCAGGTTTCACAGTCAGAAAGCAAACATTCTAACCACTCACCCATGCATGCCCATATACATATGTAAATATTCAGATGTAAATGAATATTCATCTGCAAAAAGACAATATGAATAAACATTGCCTTGATAAAGTTTATCAGAGCATAAAACATGTCAGTAAAAAAAAAAAATATATATATATATATATATATATATATATATATATATATATATATATATATATATATATATCAGATTTAATAAAAATTTGTCTGTCTACATTAGGATACAAAACTGAGCAGATATGTATATTTTGAGAATCAGGAAAGATATGTATTCAAAAGCACTATTCAGGCTTTGTTTGATCAGGAAGTCCTATGTGGTCAACAGGTTAAGGTATGTCACAATTAATGATGGTTTCCCCTCAGGGCACAGGTTCGAATCCTGCTGGAGGTCATATATTTTTCTAACAAGATTTCTCGAATATTCAGGCCAATAGATGTAAATAAATAAATATACTGCTTAATAATAAAAACAGTGCACCTACTCAAATATGAGTATCAATTAAAAATGTGTGTGCATTTTTGAAAACCAGGTTATATCAAATTTTAGATGACACCAAGAAAAATATGAAGATTGAATGTTAAATAAGGTCTCCTACTGTGAAGGTTACTAATACTGGAGAGTGAAATAGGTTTGAACATGTATGCAATCATATTAAAAACCTGCTTCTTCCTCCATTAGTAAGTTAGGTAGCATGTGTGTTATAGTCAGCCACTGCCTTGCATAAATAATGGACCATTCCATTTTAATTGTGAGCAAAGACAGAAAGATGTTTGGTTTTAGTGAGAAAATAAAGTATACATCATATCATGATAGAAGAGATAACTAATGTTTTAATATCTGTTTGGGGAAATGAAAAACTATGTCAGTTTTTAATATTTTTATTTGTACCCTCTCAATTCTTTAAGTAATGAAGTGTGTTCATACTTATGACTGCTATTACAATATTTTGCTAACATTAAGCTCAAATATTTAACAAAGTTGCAGAGGAATTTCCACAAGTATTTTAATAAGTGTGGAGTTTGCAAGGAGATTGAATCAGTCATTAATTTAAGAGTTATGATGCATCAGAAAAATTAAAATAGGAAAACCATGATGTGTTTGTAGGCATTGCCAGTCATATATAAAACTATTCAGACATGCTTTGTTCACTGTGTGACATCATTGAGTTTTGAGGTTTGATTTATAAAAGCAAGATCAGTGATGGAATTTGGGATAAAAGAAAGGTTTGTGAACTTCAATTGGGGCACAACCTATGAACATTTAGTGCATCTGCAAAATAAGGCTTGAAAGAAGATTTTTTGCATCAAGAAAATGCAACATGGATTAACAAATGGTACCAACTGTGAGAAGCCTGTAAATCACACCATCTGTACCACCCTAGTTGTTCCCAAGATTGAAAGGAGTATTGAAGGTTGGTCATAGATGAAGTAAACTGAATCTTAATGGATAAATTTTGACTCCATTTTGATACCAGTGGCATTACTCTATCTAGTATAAAACTTTCTTATAGAAACTGAGAGTTTATTTATCAATGAACCCATGTAATTTTGAAGAGAAATAAATTTACTTCATTTTGATACCAACTTCATTACTCTATGTCTTAACCAGTGTATGGTTGCAAAGGAAAGACGAAGATTAAAGATTTAATAAACATTGATCAATTTTCAGAATACATGCATAATACTCAATGCCAGCATATGTAGTTGTGTGAAGAGGACTTATCTGGTACGGACTTAGAAGTACAAGTTCACAAGGTGTATGCAGTTGTTAGCACAAGTGGGGAATCAGTGGTGGTGTTAATCCATGGTAAGGCCTGGTAAAGTGTGCTGACAGGTTGGTTGAGCAAGATCACGTGGTGACAATGAGAGAGGCCAGGAGTGTAATAGTGAAGTCATCAAGGTGTTAGAAATCATGGTGGTAACATCAAGATCCTGCCGATGTCTACAAATGGTCTGTTGGCTGTATTTTGTGTGTGAAGAGTTAGGTGATGTCAGGAATTTGGAGTTGGTGTGTTTGGCAGGTTGATTGAACAAGGTCATTGTGGTAGTGATGAGAGAGGCCTGAAGTGGATTAGTGAAGCCGCTAATCTGATTTTGCCAATATAGAGAGTGTGAGCCAAGTGGTGTGGGTGTTTAGAGGAGGGGAGGTCTTGAGCAGATGTGTGTTGGGTTGGTTGACTGAAATCATGGTGGCAACATCAAGAACCTGCCGATGTCTACAAATGGCCTCTTGACTATTGTGTGTGTAAAGAGTTAGGTGAAATCAGGAATCTAGTTGCCATTACAGTGGATTGATTGAGGTCATGGTGGTGACTTGAGCCCACTTTTATCAACAGCAGGCCTATCAGCTGGGTTCTGTATTAGACGTTTATGAAGGGTGTTTTTTTTTTTAAGCAAATCTTGTGGCTCCCAGGCTCATATTTTTTAAATTTTTTGATGACAACATTCATGTTTGACTATTGTATTTTAGATTTTTGTGAGGATTTATTCTGTGGACTGGTGCTCCTGTGCAAAAAATGACTATTTTGGGTTTTGCTTGCTTAGTGCTCAACATCCGGTCAACATGTAAAGTGAATCAAAAAGAGATCTAATTTACAGTATAACATCTATCTGATGTAAATTTGTTGTTCTAGAAATGGAGAGCTTATTTATCAATCAACCCCTGTAATTTTAAAGATAAATTTATTCCATTTTGATACCAGCTGCATTTAACTATCTGGTCTAAAAATTTCTTATAGAAGTGGAGAGTTTATTTATCAATCAACCCACGTAATTTTGAAGAGAAATAAATTTATTCCATTTTGATACTAGTTTTATTAATCCATCTGGTGTAAAACTTAATTTATCAATCAAGCCTTCTAATTTGAAAGGGAAATAAATGTAATTTTTATACAAGTTTTATTATTCTGTTTAGTTTAAAATTTTGTTTTCTAGGATTGGCAACATTACTTAATAAATATAAATGAATAAAGTTTAAAATGTACCGGTTTCACTTGTTTATTTTTACTTAAATTTAAATTTTACAAGTATTGCTCAAAATTCAGAAAATTCAGATAAACCCAATCTCAGATTTTGAAGATGGGGTGAAACTATTTAAAAGAAAAAACAAAAAACATTTTATTTTTTGATAATCATTTTCCTCTTAAAGTTTTTATTTTTTCTGCAATTGAGATAGGCTTTGACCCAAACTACCTTCTTACACAAAGATTAATCTTTCCTCTAGCAAAATACAAACCACTAAAAAATACAATATAGAAAAAAAATGTAAGGAACACTCCAGTATAAAGCACTAAGTCTAAATGTTCATCTACTAAAATGTTGTATTACTCTGGCCAATCAGGGCTCATAAAAAAAAAAAAAATTTCTAACCAATCAGTATTTCAGATTCAACTGCCACTGTATAAGGACAGATATGGCCAGTAAAATGTGCAGCTCAGCAAGTGTACATGTGGGTGGTGATAAAGATTTTTAGTCTCTTCAACACTTCCTTTTGGGACACCACAAGCATTCACCCTAATTTTACACCATTAAATGCACCATGGAAAAATGGCTCCCTGGGAGTA